TGTTATGCGAACTTTGAACTGGTGCCTATTTTGCTGTTTGTCCTGGTCTTTTGTCGGCTCTTTGGAATCGACTTTTTGACCGTTTTGATCTGACTTCTGATAACTGACTTGGGTTTGCAAATTAATTTTTAGACCGATCTTTTCAAACCGTTCGACTTCCCACTTTAAAAACTCGCTGATGGCTTGTTTGATCGTTTTGATCCATTTTTCCTCTTCAAAACCAGTCTTTTCTTCTCCCTGCTTCCAGGTTTGCTTTTGATCGTTTAAAACTGAGTTTCAGTTTTTAATGGTGATGTTTTCCCACATGTCTTGAACCGCTTTAGTGAAGTTAGCAAAATTGTTGGAAAGTTCGCTTTTAGACGAAACTAGCCGGTATTTTTTTCCTTTTGACCAACTTTGCCAAACCTTGGAAGCGGTGATTTCTTTGGAAAATTCGTGCAAAGCATCTAAAACATTGAAGAAGTGCTGTCCGGTATCGCCGGGCAGCGCAGCAAAATTGACAAAGTTAAGCGCAAAATTGAGACCCAGCGCGTGACCAGCAATAGCGATCATGTTGGTAATCGGAATTCTATCGTTGCCATCCCAAAACATTTTCATAACTCTATCAAGTGCCTTTTTTTGGCTGGTAACTTGGCGGTAGTTATCGTGTTTTAATTCTTTCTTAAAAGCTAAAATGTGCTCACGAAATTTGTCCATCTTAAAAACTTGACTGGTCTCTCCGTGGGAAATTTTTAAACTCACAGCCGAAGTGTTAATTTTGTGGGCGTAGTCAACAAATTTTCTGTACGAAGCCTCGGTAATAGCAGGTTGGGTGTCGGGGTTTTTGGGAATGGTAATACTTTTGGACGGAACGAGCTTGGCTAACAATTTAGTCGCCAACTCGGGCATAAAGAGATTGTACACACCGTTAAAACGCTCAAAAAAGCCGTCGATTCCTTCAACCTCGTTAAGATTGATTTCGGTGGCATGCTGATCTCTTTTTTCTCAATCCTCCTGCTGTTTTTTTTCGTCAACTCCGCTTGAACAAGCGAGCGCCGATAGAATCGGTGCGCTCGTGATGAGAGCCGGCGTAAGTGTTAGTAAAAATTTCCGCATCGTAGTTCCTTTTTAAGAGATTGAACTATCTCTACCTTTCGTGAATAGAAATTATTATACACTTTTTTTTAATTTTGTGTCATGATAGAAATAGAAAATTAATTTGCTTAATTTACCGGTCTCAATCTTTACTCAGCGAGACCCGAAAGTAAGTAGTAAAGGAACTTCCCTTTTCAAAGCGATTGCTCAGAAATCGCCGCGTCTAGGTAATAGGATCCGTTCTCCTCAACGGTTAAATCGACTTTCTTTTTTTTCAACCAATTCTGGAAAACTGGCTGGTAAAACATGGTGTCGATTCAAACGTCTATTTTGCCAACCATTTGGGCAAAGTTTTCAAAACTGCTAGCAGGTAAGTTAACTAGTTTGGAAAGTTGGAGTGCAAAACCAGGTTTATAAGCCAGCAAAGCCGCCACCAAGCTAATCGTGGTTAGTGACCTTCCCGCTTCGGCAACTTGAATAAAGTCCTTGGGGGTCCCGTTATCGCTTAAACCGTTTTTCTCAACGTCGTATTTTTTATCATTAGCGCCAGAGTAGTTGGCAAACCCGTTGATAATTTGCTCAATTTCCGGTTTAATGTTCAGTTCAAAAAGACGGGTGCTTACGTTTTCAAACTCAAGCTTTAGTTTNAAATAACTGCTTAACAACGCTGTCGTGGAGTTGCCCGTTTTGGCTAATTTGGTCGTAAGAACTTCGGAACGAAAAGGCCGAAGATTGCAAAAGCGTGTAAGTTAGCGAAGAAACGAAAATAATCGCCACCATAATCAGCGAAAAAATTCGCCTTGAAAAAACTAGTTTAAAAGCTTGTTTAACTAGCAGTTTCATGGTCGCTAACTCTCCCGTCATCAACGTATAAAACTTGGTCGGCTACTTCTTTTCACTGCTCGTCGTGGGTGACGACGATAATAGTTGTTCCGTACTTCTTGTTAATGCTAGCTAAAAGTCGGATCACTTTCAAAGTAGTTTTTTGGTCAAGCGAACCAGTCGGCTCGTCGGCAAAAATAATGGTCGGATTTTTCGAAAGCGCCCGGGCCACCGAAACTCTTTGTTGCTGTCCGCCCGATAAGTTACGGATGTCTTGGTTGAGAACTTCTTTGATGCCAAGGTCGTTAAAAAGATCCTCAACGTCAAGCGCTTTCTGAGGATCTTTTTGTAACACCTGACCGATTTTAACGTTGTCCCGTGCGTTTAAGTCGGGTAGAAGGTTGTAACTTTGAAAAACAAAACCAACGTTGTCGCGGCGAAACTGGGTCATTTCGGGGTCTTTCAAAGCCGACAAATTAACATCGTTAACAATGACATCGCCCGTCGTAGCTCGATCAAGACCGGAGATAACGTTTAAAAAAGTTGACTTACCGCTGCCCGAAGGACCGTAAATCACGATCAATTTACCTTTGGGTATGGAAAGAGAAATGTCTTTTAAAATGCGAACCGCGTTATGGCCACTGACGTAATACTTGCTTAATTTGCGAACGTCGATGATGTTGCCCTCGCTATTTTTTAAGTTTTTGTTTCCCTTGGGATGACGGTTTAGTTTTTTAAGTTTTTTTGCTTTGGTTGTCTTGGACATCAATTGTTCCTAAAGTCGCAGGGTACTAGGTAATTATAAGGGCGATTAAAGATCCGGGCCCAATTATGCCTGGTGCATTTTGGCCCAAGGCGGCGGAAAATCGACTGGCGTTGGTAAAGCCTTGCGAAAAGTTATTAAGTACGACAAAGCTGGCTCGGGCGCTCGGTAAACTTGGATTTTGATCTTTAACTTCTTAACTAGCGCTTGACTGGCGTTGATCTCCTGCTGGTAACCCGCGCCTTTAACGAACAAAAATTGGCAATTTGGCTGACCAAGATGGTAACTCATTTGGATTAAATGCTTGAGATCGGCCACGGCACGAGCCAAAATAAAAGCGAAACTTTCCCGATCTTGACTCGTCTCAGCTCGCGTGTGGACGACTTTAAAATCTAGGTTGAGTTCGCCTTTAACGTTGTTGAGAAAAGCGACCTTTTTGGCGTTAGCTTCATAAATCGTCAGTCTAATTTTTGGGAAGACGATTTTAAGCGGTAGACTCGGGAACCCGGCGCCAGCACCGATGTCAAGAACCGGCTGATTTTCCATGCCTTGCGCCCAGTCCCAAAAAGTGACTAGCGACTGGTAAACGCCCTGCTCCCAAATTTTAGTCGGACTTCACGCCGTTAAATTAAATTTTTGAGCAAATTTTTCAATCAGCCCCACGTAACGCTCTAACGCTTTAAAACTAGTTGGATCTTGAACGAGATTTTTAACCGCCTGAACAAAATTCATCACTAAACAGCGATTTTTTGCTTGAGTACTTCCATCGGCATGAATCCGCTGGCGCTGTTTTTGAGTTTCTTGTTGTGGTAAATAAATGTGGTTGGAACGCTTTGAACGCCGAATTCAGTGGCTGTTTCGCGGTTATTGTCTAAGTTAACCTTTAAAACAGTGATGTCCGGGTTTTGCTGGGCAAGTTCCTCTAACACTGGTGCCATCATCCGGCACGGGCCGCACCAATCAGCAAAAAAGTTAACGATAGTTGTCCCGTTAGTTAATTTGGATTGGATTTCGCTACCACTGATAATTTCTAGGGGCATTTTAACCTGCTTTCTGAAGTGTTTGTCTAGTACTAAAAAGCATTATACGCCAGACCTAATAAGCCCTGGCAAACAAAACTAAGCGACGTGTGAGCACTCCGGTTAGGATGCATTTTTTACTCTCGGTCAGTTTGTAATCAAAGGGAAGACACCGCGCTGTGGCGCCAGTTTGGGCTTGGATCTGCTCTTCGTGCTGTTCTTTCCCAGCGAAAGGAGCGAGAACAAAGCGGTGGTTTTTAATCGCTTCTTTAAGATCGGCGTAACTATTGACTTTCACGGTGTTTTGGCGAAGTCTTTGCTGGGCTTGGTCAAAAAGATTTTGCTGAAGTGCGGCGAGAGCCTTTTCAACCGCTTTGGGTAACGTTTCTAAGTCGCAATTTGTCTTAACCAAAGTGTCGCGCCGAACCAGCACAACTTGGGCGTTTTGAATTTCGCGCGGTCCAATTTCAATTCTGAGCGGAACGCCCTGAATTTCCGACTCGGCCGCTTTAAAACCGGGGCTTTTGGAACTGGTGTCTAACCTAACTCGTCAACGCCGCGATAGTTTTTGAAACAGCTGGCGCGCAGTTAGTAAAACTTGGGGGTTTTGGTCGCCAAATAACGTGATTAAATCGATTTGGTAAGTCGCCACCCGGGGCGGCATGATTACTCCCCGGTTGTCTCCGTGCGCCATAATAATAGCGCCGATTAAACGGGTTGACATCCCCCAGGAAGTTTGGTAGGGATGAACTAGTTCCTGACTTTGATTTTTAAACTTGACCGCGTAAGTTTTGGCAAAATTCTGGCCTAAGTAGTGCGAAGTTGCGCTTTGAAGAGCTTTGCCGTCTTTCATCATCGCCTCTAACGAATAAGTGGTAACGGCTCCGGCAAACTTTTCCCGGGGTGTCTTTTTACCAACTACGGTCGGGATTGCCAAAAACTTGCTTAAGAAGCGAGCGTAATTGCGAATCATTTGCCGCGTTAGTTTGCGTGCCTCACCAGCCTGCGCGTGGGCGCTGTGTCCCTCCTGCCACAAGAACTCGGATGTTCTCAGAAAAGGGTTGGTTTTCTTTTCACCTCGACAAACATTAACCCACTGGTTGTAAATGAGGGGTAAATCGTGGTACGAACTTATTTCTTCGGCAAAAAGTTGACTGAAAAGCACTTCTGAAGTAGGGCGAATCGCCAGCGGATAAGCTAGTTGTTTATCGCCTACCTCGGTAACCGTGTAAAGCTCGGGAGCGAACCCCTTGACGTGGTCACGTTCTTTTTTAATCAAATCGGTGGGAATTAAAAGCGGTAAATAAACGTTTTGGCTTCCGATTTTTTTGAGCACCTGCTCGAAATTAGTCCGGATGTTATCCCATAGTCCGTAGGCGAGCGGTTTAAAAATTAGCGATCCTTTGCTCGGCCCATACGAGGCTAAACCACCGTTAATTACCACGTCTACGTACCACCGGGAAAAATCTTTTTCCATCGGTGTGATTTTAACTAGCTGTTTCACCGTTTCATTATACTAAATGTCGCTTTTTCGGGTTTTTTTCAGCAAAAAAACAACTTTTTCTAATTTAAGAAGTAGAGGTCTTTTTCGGTTGAGATGGGCAAATTACGGTCGTTTTTTTCGGTAAAGTTTTCCCAAATAATCGTAATTTTGTAAGTCTCAAAAATTTTTCTGAGCGATACTAAGTACAAGTAGTTCTCGATTTGTAACTGCGAATCTTGAACGATAAGGTTGTAGTTAAAAACGATAAAAGAAGGTTTAATTTGCTGCAAAATAGTAACCGTGAACTGGGAAAAGCGGCGGAAACGAAAACCTATCACAAAACCCTTTTCCAGCAACACTTTGCAAGTTGGCGCTATTTGGTTAAGTTGATCATAGTTGTCAAATCTAATCACGTAGGCGACACCCGTGGGTTCAAGGTTAGTCAAATTGCTGGCGATTCACCGACTGTTAACATCCAGCAAAATTTGGGAGGTTAATTTTTTGCTGGTGATTTTCTCCGCGTGGGCGTCAATTAAACTGTTCAAATTGTAAGTGTTAACCAAAATGTTGCTTAACTGCTGTTTATCAACGCTTGGCAAAGCCGCAAAAGAGTAGTTAACCACCGTTTTATCATCTTTGATTCTTTTAACTGGCACGAGTTTGGTCTCAAATTTGTGCGATCTAACTGCGTCGCGGAAAATTCTGATTTGTTCGCTGTAGTGGGTGAATTCGCCTTGATATTCCTGAACTTGCTTAATGTCAAGAAAATTTTGTTTCCAACGAATCGATAAATTGACGATGAAATCAAGCGTGGATAAGGCACGGTTAAAAACTTTCCGGTAGTTGACTTCTTGAAAGCGAGCGTTGCCTGACCCCCGGATGAAAATGCCCCAACCCGCTTGGTCAACCTGAGCCTTAAAAAGTCCAACTAGGTAATTCACTTTTCTTTTCACCTTTTTGTAAGTCGGCGCGTAACAAGTTATCAGCACCAAGTCGCGTCATTCGTAAATGTCGTACTTAAACCTGATCGGCAACTTTAAAATTTCGCAAATGAAAATTTCACGCACGTTGGGAACATGGGTGTTTAAGTTGAAAGCTAGAAATCCCTTGAATTTAGCGGGGCGATTGGCAACGTCTTCGGGCGTGGTTAAATGGTTGGATAAATCGGTTTGAACTCCGAAGTCTATTTTCCAATTGACCACGATTAAGTAATCCGAAACTTTGTCGAGTTTGCTCAGTTTCACGTTGAATAAGAGAGGTACGCGCTGTCCGAAGTGACGCGTACTGCTGTACTTAAATGCGTAGGAAATCTCAGTTTGGCCGTTATCAATTTTTTGGAGAGCTTCGCGGTAGAGTTTAGAGTTCTCCGGGTGCTGGGTAATGATTTGAACCACAAACTGACGACTTAAGTGGCGTCGCAATTTGTTCTCTTTGATCTGATCGTCCACGGCAAACTCGTGAGTTTGGAAATTATCGCTGCCCGAGTAATCGGCTCGGTAAGGAGTAACTTTCCTAGTCATGGGATCTAGTTTGTACACAAAAACGCCGCGGTGTTCTTGAACGTTAATGTTTTTTTGTCAAAAATTAGAGAGC